TAACATGAATATATACATACATACATATATATATATATATATATATATATATATATATATATATATATATATATATGTATGTATATATACATGTGTGTGTGTGTGTATATATGTATATATGTGTGTGTGTGTGTGTGTGTGTGTGTGTGTACTCTTTTTATATATATTGTAAAATGTAATTAATTCCTGTGATGCAAAGCTGGATTTACTAACATTATAAATGTCTTCAGTGTTACTTTAGACTGAATTAAAGTATTAATTACTTTAAAGAAAAAAAACATTCTCAAGTTTTGAATGGTAGAGTATAAAGAAAAAAATAACAACAGAATTATGCCATCGAGAACAACAAAAAAAGGACCAAAATAAGTGTCTTTTACATCTGCTCGATCATTAGCGCTTTCCCCTTGCTCTCGTTCAATGAATGTCTCCCTTAAAACAAAAATAAAAATGAGACACTAACATGCATGGACCTAACATCAAGCACTGTCTGTGAAGTTGTATTCAAGCCAAATGAAATGCATGTCAAAAAGTTAGTGTTAGGATGAATACAGCCTCTTAGGATGCGTTACCTGTGATGCTCATTAGTGAGCGTGTAGAAGTGCTTTTCCTTCTCATGAATAGCATCCTTGATTCTTTTGTAGACTGGGGCACTCCTGTGTCTGACCTCTTGTAAAACGGTCTGAAGAATGATGACGTTCCTGATCAGAGGGTCCTCAAGGATATCAATCTATCTCATTTAAGGCAAGACACTACAGGCAAAACTATTGTGTATTCATGCACTGGACTGGTCAATTATGAAATGTGGCATTTCAGACTAGTGGAAAGAAAACATCCTAAATACACATTTAAGTGTTTATTTTATTACACTTTATCTATTTGTGACTGTATATTGTAATTCAATATTTGTGACCCTGGACCACAAAACCAGTCATAAGTATCACTGATATATTTGTAGCAAGAGCCAAAAATACATTGTATGGGTAAAAATTATAGATTTTTCTTTTATGTCAAACATCATTAGGATATTAATCGAAGATCATGTTCCATGAAGATATTTTGTAAATTTTCTACCATAAATATATCCAAACCTAATTTTTGATTAGTAATATGCATTGCTAAGGACTTCATTTGGGCAACTTTAAAGGCAATTTTCTCAATATATATATATATTTTGCACCCTCAGATTCCAGATTTTCAAATAGTTGTATCTCTGACAAATATTGTCCTATCATAACAAACCATGCATCAATGGAAAGCTTATTTATTCAGCTTTCAGATGATGTATACATCTTTAAAGTTTTTTCTTGACTTCAGCAGCACTAATATAAGTTGTATTTATTCCTGTTAATATCATTCAGCTGATTTATAGAATCTCTTATTCCTAAAAATATGGTTACAATTTATTCATTTATTTTGGCTGATTTATGGAGTGATAAAAAGGAAAATGTTAAATTCCCTCTGTTATAAACTTTAACACCAATAGCTCAACCAAATTATTTCTGTTCTGTTAATATATGCAAATTAGCGCATATTTCATTATAAAATGTTTCATTTAGGCTACATATTAAAAACATTTCAGAAATACCACAAATTGTGTTAATGTTGAAATCTAACAGTTTTTATAATAAAGAATGAATTGTGATCTAAGATTCGCGCTTTTTGGGTCACCCACTTAGAAATGAAACCTTTAACTTGGAATGAATGAATGTTATATAAAATAACTGGAAACCCTGCCTCTTTAATGTGTAATAGATGTATTTGGTGTTTAGTGACATGGCATACATTAAACAAGACGTCCTCTAATTCTTATACAAATACTTTTGATAACAGTTAATTGTTTACAAAAGCTGTTCAGAACAAATACGCTTATTATAATAATAAGCTATTAATAAAAAATAATAATTAAATAAATAAAAAGCACATACCTGATGTAAAACCACATTGGTGTCTGGTATTAAATAGTGAGGATATGAGCACAGGTTGTTGCTCTCTATGCTCGCGTGCTCTTGCAGCACAGGCGCTTCAGTTCAGTAGGTCTATGTAATTTCCACGAGGGGCGGACTGGGAAAAAAATTTCAGGCTGGGAAATCTCACACTCATACACCCACAACAAATTCTGAAACATGGACAACCCTATTTTTTGTATGGATCTCATATAAAAAAGGTTTAAATCCTTAGGTTGGGGACATGCACAATAATTAAAAGTTCTGCACCTTCACTTCCATTTTTCTTTTCAGTCTCGAAACTATGGTTTGTGTAGCAAAACCCATGGTTAATTTGTGGTTACATTGCTTTGACACTAGTATTGTCTTTGGATTTATAGTAAAATCATCGTTAATTTTCGTAAGGGTTGTGTTGTTTGCCCTAGCTCCCCCTAAACCTATTATAACATATGATTATTTGTCTGCTAAATTACTACTGTAACATTACAGTAGATAATAATGATGTCCTTTATACAGTATTTTGAGTGATGACTGATGAGCAATGGGCTGCTGCTGCTTACCTAAGTAAACAGACAAAACTACAATAGCATATTTACAGATGGAACTGACCTGCACTTGAAACCCTGAACAGCAGGCCTAGTTTTGCTTCTCTGCTCCACCTGTGCGCTTCCACAGTCCACTCCATTC